GGTGAATCTGTGAAATGAGCACATGACCACTCTGGTAGGCATTACTTCTGAGGTTAACTAGAGCTCTGCAGCTCATAATACGTTGAGCATATACATCATGAGAGAATCTAAGCTGTGCAAAGAATGAATCTACAAGTAAACTAGCTAGCTTAAGCAGTTAGTCATAATAGTAATGTTAGTTTGAGATGGGAGGAAAGGTTAATGATCAAAGTGTTTAAATAGGTAACTCACAGGCAGGTTGCAGGTATGGCAGCATAGTGTAGAACCAACAGATGGTCGATTGTCTATATGGTGAATTACTTAAATTAGACAATGACTAAAGTTGTACGTGTGGCTTGTTTTATACTCATCATGTAACTGTAAAACCTTAGGAAACTGTTCATATGATAATTCTGTAATAACAAACTAATAAAATCTAATCGGCCAAGGAAGTAGCCTTAATAACAAAAAAAAAAACAAAAGAATAAATAATAAAATAATATATTCAATTCTCAAATTATATATATTACAATTTTTAAGAAAGTCAAAATTTGAAAAAAAAGAACAAGTATTATTAATGAATTCACAAACAAAAGAACAAAGTAATGAATAATAAAATAATATATCTGAATTCTCAAGTTATATATACCACAATTTCCAAGAAAGTTGAAACCTAGAAAAAAAAAACAAGCATTATTAGCGAATTCACAAACCAGAAAACAAAGTAATAAATAAATAAAACAAATGCTTTAACTTCTCAAGATATATACTATAAAATTTTTAAAGACATACTAACAATTTTTTTTTACCTATTTCGAATGTATCACTATTTTCTAACATTATAAATATCTAAGCATTCAAAATAAGAGTACCTTGTAATTAGTTATAAAATATTACGATCTATTAAGATTTAAAAATCTATTCTCGCTTATATATACTGTAGCATTGTAATTTATATATTCGATATTTAAAAGAAATTTTAATTTAAGAGTCAGATCATCATAATTTATATCATAGTATATTACGTACTGAATTTTTGATTTAAAATCTCTGTAATTTATATTACCGAATTTTTAATTTAAAAGTCAGATCGTTGTAATAGTATATTACCGAATTTTTGATTTAAAAGTCAGATCGTCACATGTATTTGTGCTTATTATATCTATATCCCACGTAGAGGTTGGAACCGGTTTTAATAATTCGGGTTTATCACGTGAATTTTGTGATATTTTAGAAATTTATCCACAAAATTCATGTGATAAACCCGAATTATTAAAACCGGTTCCAACCTCTAATCCCACGGTCTGTGGCAGTCTAATTAAGTTACTATAACCTTGGGTTACCGAATTACTGCGGAGTTAAGGGCGGCTTTTAAGATATAGTTTGGCTGGCATTAATACTAAGAGGTAGACTATGAATGAACATGCCAATTAAAATTTTTTATATTAAATAAAATACACAAAAATATAATTCTGGCCAAAATTATAAAAAATTTTTGATTGGTACATGTGATCATTTTTTAATATCCAATAGGAATATAAAGAGAGATTACACCTTTAAAACGGTTAACGTTAAAAATTCTAAATACCAAGAAATACTAAGTATTCTTTTAAACAAATAAAGCATAATAATGTACCAGAAGTTTTCGTTACCATTGATTTCCCTTTAGGCTTCAATCTTCCAAATAAAGAAGCACCTGAAGAGTGTGATGTGAATCAACAATCTGTAATCGTTAACTTTTTCAGTGGCAGGAAACAGTATGCCTACATTTTCCAACTACTGCTTGCATTAAAATCTTCGATCATCTCTTCAATCGTATGTTGATTGATTCTGAAGAACAACAATATTACACACTGGCTGGAAAATGGCTGGGAGATTCTATTCAAGTGTTTGAATCCGAAGATGTAGAGTTCGTGACTTTAAATCTTAAACTTCGATTATCTGGCGGTAAAGGTGGGTTCGGTTCGATGCTCAGAGTACAAGGTGGTAAAATGGCCAGTCAAAAACTACAAATTTTGAAGCGTGTTGTAACTTAAACGGCAGAAGGCTTAGGACTGTCAATAAGGCAAAGAGGTATACTTCCTCAAGTTAATAACCGTTAAACTATTGTATTTTATCTAAAAATTAAATACTTAAACATTAACTATAGATATTAATAATTATAGATTGGCTGATCATCTTGAACAAGAACCGGAGAGGCGACGCGTTCGTAAAGAAAGGGTACAAAAATAAATTGCTGAAGGAATTGCTGAACAACCACCAACAAAGAATATACGTTTTGATGATACTGAATATCTTAAAGCTAGCGAAGAAATAAAGAAAACAACCAAGTTGCTGTATCTAAAAGTAAATTTTGATTTTATTCAAAATATAAATTATAATCTTTTCTCTTTGATTTATTAATTTTTTGATTTATTTTTTATTCAGCTATGACAAAAAAGTCAAATTCTACTATTAGTAGCAATTCTGCCGCTGGCAATTCAAGGCTCTCTCATTATGGTAAATATTTCGAAAATCTATCGTTTTCATTATTTTTAAAATTTACAGTTGTCTTTAGGGATGTCGATAGTGGATCTGATAGTAGTGAAGACGGTGAATCTGATAGTAGCGAAGACGATGTTACTGATACTGATAATAACGATAAATGTTAATGATTTGAATCTGAAACCCATTGGACTTTCGGATCTTTCCAATATTCTATTGATTTTTAATGAAATTTTCTACTAAAATTCTTCTTTTGGGATAAATATAATGTTTAGTTAATAAAATTGCACATATAGTTTTCAACCAAAATAAACATATACAATATTGGTGTTAATCGGCAATTTCTGATAATGGCATTCTCTCTCCATATTTAGCACAAAACGAATTCGGTTTGTGCTACGTAGGCGTTTAATTTTTAATCACAAATATATACTAGTATAAACTAGTTATATCATTAACTACGATAAATGTTAAAATTAGTTTTATCATGTGATAAAACCCAAAACATAGTGCTGATAAAACGTTATGTCGGCATCACTAACGTAAATCACTGTCACTTTTTCAAGAACGAATTAAAATTTGTTTTATCAAGATTTTTAAATACGATTTTATAGAGTATTTTATTATAACCAAAGAATTCCATATAGTCTTAGAAGGCGATTTTTAAATAAAGTTTTTACGTAGTAAAATAATAATGCTTAGGCTCAACTTACTGTATTTTGTGAGTACGTATCAGAGCACAAAACCTACTTAGTGTTCTCATTAGGACCGATTTTACCGAACCGTGGTCAATCAATGTAAATCTCTCAAATAAGGAAATTTGAAATACGGTTCGGTATTCTTTTTTTTAGTGATTTTCCCACTGTGATACAAACCAATTTATTGTTATTTTAATTTGTACTACATTGTACTACACACATATTATCAAATACAAAATGGTGACGTAATATATTCTCATGATGTGACAACTATATGAGGTTTGTTTTTTTTTTTTCTTAGCAATATTAATTTTGCTTGTTTAGACTTTGAGAAAAAAACAATTTAACAATAGACAATCTTTTTCGCACTTTCATTCAACCTTAAAACGAAAATGAGAGAAAGAAATGGAAATACAGAAACTACCTTCACTCGTGAAGAAAATTTATTTCAAATGTCGTGTTAAGGGAAGTAGATATATTTCTGTATTTTTCAATCCGAGTAAAATGTACTTGGATTATTGTGAGAATAATGGAAACACAAATATTGTATATATCACTTCTTACAATTTTCTTTTTTTTTCCATAGTGTATCTTCATCGAATAAATATTACATGGAATCAAAAATTGGGTCGGTCGATTTTTTTTTTTTTTTTTGATGTTAATGTCGCCAAAAGAAAACCAGACCTTCGGTTTACAATTTTATTTGTTGCTAACATGTTTTAGTTTAGTAAATTATAGATTTTAAAAGCCCGAAGTCTTGAAATAATTCCAGAAAATTATGTGTAGATGGCTACGTGATCCCCTTTACGAATTACCAAGGTCTCAACAATCAACTGTGAGTTGTTTTCATTGGATATGTGGAGTTGTTATATATCCGAAGTTGCTATCTCAGCTAATTTACGTAATTTGAGGATAATCGTGGTATATAATGTGCCATATAATTATTTATTTTAGAATTAGTCCCAATATTTCCTATTGCAAAAGGGTTTGTTTGTTGGATATTTCGGATCTTTGCTAAGAAAATCAAGTTTCGGGATAACTTTATTTTCCTAGTAAAGATCACATTTGCAATACGAAATAGTCTAAAATAAATAATATATTACGCATTATATACCACGAGTTACTGATAATCTTCAGATTATGTAAGTTCGTTGATATGGCTGTCAACTTGATATAAAGAATCTGAGAATGAAAGCACTTCGTGGCCAACTATTTGAAGAAGTCGAAGCTTGGTGTGCTGTTTAATACATTTTTTACTATCCGTTTAGCCGATGCTTTGATTCTGCTTAGGCTTTGAGATGCGCATGCCGGTTACGGATTAGTAAAAAGTGTGTTGCCGACTGCAGGCAGTCGTGAGTTCTTTTCATTCTTTAACTATCACTTTGATAGGTCCGTTTAGCCGATGCTTTGATTCTGCTTAGGCTTTGAGATGTGCATGCCGGTTACGGATTAGTTTGAAAGACCAGCACTTTGTTGGGATGAGCTGCTTGCCTAGTGGGGATATAATAGCTCATTGTTGGGGTGAGCTATTTTGGTCTAGCGAGGATATAGTGGCCCTTTGACAAGCTTCTTCTATTTTCAAAAAAACAGTTGAACGTTCTTCTCAGTTTTCGAGGATGACAAATAAGATATATGCTAGTATTAGCTATATACGATTATGAATTATATTCATATTTTTTATCTATTTTAGGAAAGTCAAGATTTAAGTTATTTCGGCACGTCGTCTTGGCAAAATAATTATGAAATGTTCTTACCGAAATGAGTTATAACGTTAATTTTGAACCCAACTATATGGTTATACGAGATCGGATTAATCCTTAGATTATATATGTTGTAAGTGGATTCAGAATTATGTAGATTCCGAATCCACTTAAGTGAAAATCGGATCTTAAAACGACTCATGTGGTGATGGAATTTAATGATTAATTAATAATTATACTTAATTTAAAAATATATTCGAATTAATAATTATTTTATCTTTTTCTTTTCTATTCGAGACGTCAACGCCAGAAGAATACCCATGATTTCAAGACAAATATTTATGATTTAATTAACAAATATCTTGAAGGAAAATTAGACATAAAACATTTATTTCAAAAGTTGATTACGACTTATTATTTCTGTATTTCATGAACCTAATATGTAAATTTGGAATTTCTCAGGATCGATATTGGATTAAAACTTTGAGAATTAGGAATCGAAACGAATCCAATTACTAGGGATGGGCAAATCGCGAATTTTTGGAATTTTCTGCGCAGGCTGCGCAGCCTGCGCATGAAATGCGCATATCATCAAAAATTTTTTCAGCTGCCGCTTTACGGCAGATTTTCGATTTTGATTGGCTAACGGCTATGATCTACAAAATTTTGGCTCACGTTACATAAATTATGTAATTTTCGGCCGGA